CTCAGGAAAGGCAAAAGCTGCACATCGCAAGTGCTGAACCTGACTCAGCACATAGAAGATGGCTTTGAAAGGCAGCAGATCACAGGAGCTGTCTCCATAGACCTGTCAGCAGCCTATGATACTGTGAACCACCGCCTCCTCCTGAGAAAAATGTATAATATCACAAAGGACTACCACACCCGCCTCATAGGAAACCTGCTACAAAACAGGAGCTTTTTTGTTGAGTTCCAGGGCCAGAGAAGCAGATGGCGGAAACAGAAGAACGGCCTGCCTCAGGGGAGCGTGCTTGCTCCATCCATGTTCAACATCTACACAAATGGCCAGCCACTGCCAGAAGGGACAGAGAGTTTCATCTATGCTGATGATCGTGCCATTACTGCTCAAGCAGGGAGCTTTGAGATGGTAGAACAGAAGCTCCGAAGCTCTAGGTGCTCTTACTGCCTATTACAGGGAAAACCAACTGATCCCTAATCCATCTAAAACACAGACATGTGCCTTTCACCTTAAGAACAGACAAGCATCCCGAGCTCTGAGGATTACCTGGGAAGGAATCCCACTGGAGCATTGCAACACACCCAAATACCTGGGAGTCACTCTGGACCGTGCTCTGACCTACAAGAAGCACTGCCTGAACATCAAACAAAAAGTGGGCGCTAGAAACAACATCATACGAAAGCTGACTGGCACAACCTGGGGATCACAACCAGACACAGTGAAGACATCTGCCCTTGCGCTATGCTACTCTGCTGCTGAGTATGCATGCCCAGTGTGGAACACATCTCACCACACTAAAACAGTAGATGTGGCTCTTAATGAGACATGCCGCATTATCACAGGGTGTCTGCGACCCACACCACTGGAGAAATTACACTGCTTAGCCGGTATTGCACCACCTGACATCCGCCGGGAAGTAGCAGCCAATAGTGAAAGGATCAAGGCAGAGACATCTCCAGCTCATCCCCTGTTTGGGTATCAGCCAGCACGTCAACGACTTAAATCAAGACAGTTTTCTTAGATCTACAGAGACACTCGCTGGAACACCCCAGCAAGCGAGAGTCCAAAAGTGGCAGGCCCAAACCCAGCACCTCAATCATGGGTGATACCAGATGAGAGACTCCCCCCTGGGCACTCAGAAGACTGGGCGACTTGGAAGGCGCTGAACAGACTGCGCTCCGGCACCACGAGATGCAGAGCCAATCTTAAGAAATGGGGCTACAGGGTGGAATCCTCGGCATGCGAGTGCGGAGAAGAGCAAACCACAGACCACCTGCTGCAATGCACCCTGAGCCCTGCCACATGCACGATGGAGGACCTTCTTGCGGCAACCCCAGAGGCACTCCAAGTGGCCAGATACTGGTCAAAGGACATTTAACCAAATACCAAATTTGCAAAATCTGTGTGGGTTTTTTCCCTTTTTTTTCTTTTTCTTTTTAATCTCTGTGTTTGTTTTGCTCTGTTAGAATTGTAATACAATGGTTGCTGATGACACGATAAATAAATAAATAAATTGGCCAGACAGGTCATAAGCTGCTAGCTGCTAGAGATAAGATGAACTATAAAACCATTGTTCTAAAAAGATGCCATGAATTTCCTCCCTACAACTGGGCTAGGCACCAGCATGCATGTGCACTATGATTTCTTTGTCTATTCTTTAAGCCTGAATAAACCCTACTTTAATCCAAGGAACATCTGGTCATCCTTGAAACTTCCGAGGCTGTCCATCACTGGCCTGAGGATGACAACAAGCACTAGTAGCCAACCAGAGTAAGAAGAGCATCTACTCCATGGCATACCTCCAAAGAGAAAGAACAGCCCGGTGAAGATCAAGAGGAGATAAACCTGAGCCAGAGTTGCAATGAAGCCCGTCATTCCTCCGAAGGTCATCACAACGAGGCTGAGCGGGAGCAGAATCACAAAGGCACCGTGCATATCTGAAAACAAAAGCTGTCCCATTAATTTCATGAGCAAATAACCCTTATGTCCATACCTTGAATCTCACACTGAGAGAAAGTATTTTTTTTCATATCACGAGTGACTTGAGAAATTGCAAGTTACTTCTGGTGTGAGAGACTTGGCCATCTGCAGTGATGTTGCCCAGGAGACGCCCTGATGTTTGATATTTTACCATCCTTGTGGAAGGTTTCTCTCAATGGGGAGTTGGAGCTGACAGAGGGACCTCAACCTTCACTCTCCGGATTCGAACAACTGATCTATCGGTCAGCAGTCCTTCTGGCACAAGGGTTTAACCCATTATGCCACCAGGGGCTCCTATATTAAATAAACATTATGGAGAGCTGATCCTATATAGTGCAAGGGTGCAGCTATGAGTGGAGGGTCAAAACAAGGCAGCTGTTCCCCATAAGAAATCTTCCCCCATTAAAGTTGTCCTTCAGTGGTTAGATTTCTAGTCTTTCACAAAATGAATACTTGAAATCCATTCATATCCAGAACTCCAACCTTCACATCCTCTTGGTGAATGTGCAAATCCCTTTCCTTTGAGTTCCTTTGCAAATGCCTGACTGAAGTTTTAAGTGAACACAAGGCTGCAAAATCTAGTATTGAAGGAATAAATTGTTTGGTTAGTAGATTTCTTATTTGTGGAGCAAGGCCTGCATTTTGCTCCCGGCGCCTGTATCTGTACCTAGGTGTTGGGAGATCTCATTTCCCATTGTGCCTTAAACAAAATATCTGGGCAACCTTTGGCCAGGGTAAAGTGAAGAGGACAGTGATGTACACCGGCTTGAAGAAAAAGTAGGATATAGATATAAATCATATCATTTCTCTATTCATTCCCACTTTTCTTTTCCTCCTCTCCCTCTATTGCAGTGGTTCAGCTACCTCCAGAGAGCACTGTGGACTCAAACAATGATGGATCTGGACCAAACTTGGCACGGATACTCAATATGCCCAAATGTAAACACTGATGGAGTTTGGGGAAAATAGACCTTGACATTTGGTAGTTGTAGTTGCTGGGATTTATAGTTCACCTACAATCAAAGATCATTCTGAACTCCACCAACGATAGAATTGGCCCACCTTCCCACAGAGAAACCCCATGACCAATAGAAAATACTGTGTTTCTGATGGTCTTTGGCAACCCCTCTGACACCCCCTCATGACCCCCACCAGGGATCCTAATGTCCAGGTTGAGAAACATTGCTCTATTGCCTAAGTTGCATACAATATGAGCCCACTATTTGTGGAGGATATGTTTTCAGACTTTGCTCTGGTGTGTGAAACCACAGATAATGGTAAGCCCTATTATTATCAACAGGTTGTACAGTGAATATATCAAGAAGAGGGTGCAGCTTTTACAGGTGTAAAAGTGGAGAGCCTAATGTATAAATAACACTCCATCTCTATTTTCAGATAGGTCAGCAAAACCAACAAAGTGTGTCACAACAGGGCCATCACAACCATAGGAGTTGATTATGTCAAAAAAGATCCATGCATGACAACTTCATTTCATTGGATTCAGCCCAAGGTGCATCCACACTTTAGCATAAATGCAGTTTGGCAGTACTTTGACTGCCATGGCTCCATACTATGTAATCTTGGGATTTATAGTTTGGTGAGGCACTAGCACTCTTTGCCAAAAAAGGTTAAAGAGGGCAATACAGCCCAAAAAACCTACAACAACCCAAAGGTTAAAGACTTTGTAAAAAGTTCAGCTCCAAGGATTCCATAGCATTGAGCCCTGATAATTAAAGTAATATCAAACTGCATTAATTCTACAGTCTTGATGCATCCCTAAGCATTAGACCACCGGCATTCATACAACAAATGTTCCTTATCGAAGTGGTTGTGAGACATAGCTTGGTCAAGTTAACTCAAATCCCAGAATTTACTTCTGGATAAACATGTTTTGCACCTTTCCTTTGGGATAAACATGTTTTTCCCAGGCATCTCAGAATAAAGCTGTTCTTGTTTGGCGATTTTTCCTTGGCTGAAAAAAGAAAGCTAATGAATAACTCAAAGTTCCTTGGAGCTCCGTGGTGCTTCCGAGAAGGCCCTGAGCAGAACCAGATGTTATTACAAGGCTTTTTCTCTCAAAGCATTTGTCTTCTCTGACCCTTCCCAAGGGGTTATCTTCCCAACCAGCTGCATAAACAAGGTTGCCGGGTGCTTCTCTGCCGCTCAGTGATTCCTTTCTTTTTCTCCTCTTTCATTCCTTCTGCACCTATGGCCACCAATCTCCCAGGTGCGGCTATGAATTGCAGTTCCCAGCTGCCTTTCAACAAATGGAAGGAACTTATCAGTACGTTTCCTCTTTTCTAACTGAAATAAGGGACAATCCATTTGGATGCACCTGCTGAAATGTATAGCAAATCTATGTTTTACCGCTTAAGTCGGCATATGTATTCTCCAATGCTACTCTTATTCATAGTGGTTTTGCAGCTGGAAGTTTACATTTTGAGGAGCTAAGTTTTATGTGGAATCCAGCAGTTTCTTTACAGTTGTATTGTTGTTGTCATTATTACTATTACTATTACTTTTGCTACTCAAGAACCGCAGTTCAGCAACAAAGGGGCAACCCGTTTCAATGCACCTGCTGAAATTAAGAGCAAATCTGCATTTCCCTCTTAAACTGCAATATTTATTTGGCAATTATATTATTATTATTATTATCAGTTTTAATATTTCCTATTTTTATTTCCTATTTTTATTTCTTTCCCGTTCAGCAACGAACGGGACGATCCATTTCAATGCACCTGCTGAAATAAAGAGCAAATCTGCATTTTTTGTCTTATGTCACAATGTTTATTCAGCATTATTGTTGTTGTTGTTGACGTTGCTGTTGTTACTATTTCCCAATATTATCTTTTGCTCCTCAAGAACTGCCATTCAACAACGTAAGGGAAATCCATCTTGATGTACCTGCTAAAATATACAGCAAATCTCCATGTTTCTCTTAAGTCGCAATGTTCAGTCGGCAATTCTGTTATTATTATTCCTATTACATCTCTTGATTGAGACATATATTATACAGGCTCACAACATTAAAAGGCAATGCAATTAAAAACCCAGAACATTACAAATAGGACAAGAGAATTCACATCTTCATTAATAAGAACTTGTCAATAGAGCGAGGTGCATCTACATGTAGAATTATTGCAGTTTGACACCACTTCAGCTGCCACAGCTCAATGCAATGGAATTGTTTGAATTGTAGATATGAGAGGCACTAGCACTCTTTGGGAGAGAATGCTAAGCCCTTGTAAAACTAAAACTGTCATGATTCCGTAGCAATGAGCCTTGGCAGTTAAAGTGGTGCCACGCTGTATCCATTCCACAATGTAGACACACCCTGCTGCTTTTCAAAAACTGGACTGAGCAAACAGCTGGATTTGGAGTAATATACTTTCTAGCCATTTTAATCCAATTCAGCACAATTTGCCTTGGCTTGGGAAAGCTGTCTCCCTTCCGATCCTCTTCACGCTGCTATGGAAACTGATTCCATGATCCAAACTCTTAACTGCACATGCTATTGTGTCATTATCTCCATTTGCCAAGCTGCCAGAATCATTTTCCTTCCTATGTTGACATAAGTGGCCAAGACAAGGCATTCTTGCTTGATGTCTTGCTCTTTTGCAGCAAATGGAAACCATTATGCATCCCGAGAGGATACGGGGAAGGCGAGATTTTGAATCAAAACTAATGGAACTCAAAAATTTCATCATGAACCATTTTCATTTTATTGGGGAATCTACACAGGAGAATTAATGCAGTTTGATACCATTTTAACTACCATGACGCAATATTATGGAATCATTGATGTAGTTTCACAAGGTCCTTAGTCTTCTCTGCCAAAGAATGCTAGTGTCTCTCCAAACTACAAATCCCAAGATTCCACAGCATTTAAAGTGATGTCAAACTGCATTAATTCTATGGTGTAGAGTCAGAAAATTGAGTCCAGCTGAGGTATCTGTTGGACTTAATTCCATATTGCCACATAGAATCATAGAATCAATGCTTTTCTTTTCTTTAGATTGTAACCCTGACACCAAAGAACTGTTTTCTTTTCCTTTTTCTTATATAAAGATGGCACTATATAAATAAATCAGAATAACTGGAATAATGATATGTGTTAAGTTTTCCTACATAGATGGTTGAATATTTTTCTACAATGTGGAACAGTTGCATTCAGTTCATGTTTGCAAAAGTACAGTTGCACAGACAACGCCATGGCGCGCATAAGGAGAAGTATATTATTTGCATTATACCTATGTATATGTTCATTTGGTTGCAGATTTAAAATGTGCATTCAGTCGGGCTACACTACCATTCAAGACAAAGTTGCACCGCAAGATTGATGTGGAAATATGCACACACACAGAGAGGGAGATTTAATGTAATGAAGCATAGTGTAAGTGTATTTGTATATGTGCTCCGTACCATTGAATAAAAAGCAAAAAATGAACAGTTCTCAATTTATGGGTGAAAAAAGAACTTCCATATCACTTACTTAATAGTTGCTGATGAGATGCAGTGATGTTTTCTGTTCCAGGCTTAAAGGGATTCGCAATAGGGAGGCAGTTGCTTTTAACTGGAAGGAAAAGAGAAAGTGTTGGGAGTAAACACCTATTACAAATGGATCATATTCATTACCAAGGTTATAAGAATTGTAGTACAAATAGATCCAAGGATCAGATTGGCATTGAAAGACCAACTCGTTTGGGTGCATCTATGCTAGGAATGGGCAAACTTTGGCCCTCCAGGTGTTTTGGACTTCAATTCCCACCGGCTGTTAGGAATTGTGAGAGTTAAAGTCTAAAACACCTGGAGAGCTGAAGTTTACCCATACCTGATCTACCCTATAGAATTAATGCAGTTTGAAATCACTTTAACTGCCAAGGAAATCTGGAAGTAGTAGCTTTCCAATGGTTTTAGCCTTCTCTGCCTAAGAGTGCTGGTGTTACCCCAAACTAAAACTCCCAGGACCCCATAGCACTGAGCCATAGAAGTTGAAGCGGTGCCAAACTGCATTCATCCCACAGTACAGATGCACCCCAAGCCCTTGGAGAAACCTCGAGTCACTTACGCTGGCAAGTTCTCCAGAGTCCTGAGTGTGAGCTCATGCTCTCCGTATGGTTGCTCATCTTCTCCAGCTTTGAAGCGTCTATGAGATACCAAAAGTCAGTGCTGATGGCCGCGATCAGGAAGGAGAAGCTGAAAATCCCAGCCAGGGCTGCAAACAAGGCCACCATGTTCAGCGTCAGCTTCATAGTGATGCCCTCTTTCCCTGATGGCTTCAGCCTTCAAAGTTAGAAAGAACTCATTTCTTGATCAAAAGTCAGTCCATGGTTTGGAAATATTTCCTTTTCTTAAAGATTTCCTATGTTCCAGCTTTCCCTTAATGTCATGGGCTTGCAATGCTGGAAGCAACCCAGGGGTCATGAAATGAAATTCCAGATTCAGTCAGCTCCTCTTCCTTGTATTAGCAGCTCTTGTTTCCCAACCTGGTAAACCATGGAATAATCTCTTGGGAAGAACAAGGTGTTAATGACAACTACTCCTCGGTCCCACGATTAGCACATTCTCTCTCTCTCTCTCTCTCTGGCTGAGCAAACACTGTGACGCTCAGCCAGATAGGTCTGCTTCCACTTCACCAAAGAGCCAAACGACGTATTCTCCAGGAATCATTCCTAATATCCAAGCCTTCTCTTTCTTTCCGGAGGAGAAGCAAAGGAGGATGCCAGCACTCAAGCCCTAGAAGGACATGCGCCTAAGAGGAAACTGTCCACTTCTTTTAAGCAGTTAGGAGGAGGAAAGGAAGTACCATATTTACTCAAGTTTAAGGCCCCTTCTACACTGCCATATAAAATGCAAATTATTTGCTTTGAACTGGGTTATTTGGCAGTGCAGACTCATATAATCCAGTTCAAATCAGATAATGTGGATTATCTAATTTCATAATCTGGATTATATGTCAATGTAGAAAGGGCTTCTTGCATACTTTTGGGGAGCTGAATTACAAAGGCAAAACTGAGGTGTGCATAGGATTCATTGGCACACCATACTCAAGGAAATATGGTAATAATAGTAGTTCAAGTAATTCTAATTACTAAAGCAAGGAAATTCCCCCCTAGTTGCAATCCATTCACCTGGTCAACCAAACATCTAGTATTTTAAATATCATAGTATCAGTATTATACCATATTTACTTGATTCTAATGCACACCTTTTTTGGCTAAATTATATAGCCCAAACTGAGGTGCACATTAGATTCAATGGCATATTATACCCAAGCAAATACGGTAATTTGGGACAGAAAGAACTGATCATGAATGACTCCTCCTTTCAAGGCATTTCCAGTGATTTAGGAATTCCAGGTAAGGGTTGAATACCCTATGCTAATTTGCTGAAAGTTACATTTATGCCATGACACTGGCACACAAAGGCCAATAAGACAAGCAAACATGGCAACGCTTGAAGGTACCGATTGAGACAAAGATTAAGAAGAGGAGGAGGCAATAGAGAGAAGGAGGTAAAAGAAAAGCCAGGAGAAGGACCGAGAGAAGAGGAAGAGAAGAGAGAAGAGGAAATGAGAAGAGAAGGAAGAAAGGAGAGAAAAGAAGAAAGGAAAGGAAAAGGGAGTAAGAAGAAGAAAGGAGAGAAAGAAGGGAAAGAGAAGGAAAGAAGAGAAAAGAAGAAAGGGGAAAAGAAGGAAGAAAGAGAAAATAAAGGAGAGGACAATAAAGGAAAAGAGGAGAAGAAAGTAATAGAAGAAAAGACAGGAGAAAGAAAGATAAAAGAAAAAAGGAAAGAAGAAAAAGAAGAGACACGGAGAAAGAAAGAAAGAAAGAAAGAAAGAAAGAAAGAAAGAAAGAAAGAAAGAGAAAAGGGAGAAAAGAAGAAAAGAGAAAGAGGAGGAAGATAGAAAAGAAAGGAGGCAGAGTTATTGTTGGAGGAAGAGAGGAGAAGGAAGGAGGTAAAGAAACTAATGATTTGGAGAAACCAAGGGCCAGAATTTTTTTTAAAAAAAATAGTTGCTGTAAAGGGAGGAAATGACAGCTCCCAGAATTCTTGGGAGTCTGTATCCTAAAAACCTAACTATAGAGAATAGTTTTGACCATATATGGTCAGGGCAAAGAGGTCCATTCCTGTGTGATTTTACCATCATACAGGAATGGAGTGGAAAGGGGAGTGGTCGAAAACCACTTATTGATTCAAAGCATTTAAGCAATTATAGTATAGTAATTGTTTCCATACTCAGAATGCCACCTATTTCTTGGTCCATGACCAATAGGAGACTTTTCTTCCAACCCTGCAAAGGCTTGGGGAGGAGGAGGAGGAGGAAGAGGACAAGAAGAATAATTTATTTTTATTTATTTCTGGTATTTCTACCTCGTTCCTTCTCAACCCCCAAAAGAGGGACTCAGGACCGCTTACATTTGGCAACAATTCGATGCCACTACAAATAGCAAAGCGATATAATAACAATTAAAAACAATAAATAGAACATTAATTAAAAACAGTAAAAAATAGTATTAACAGCTATATCATCATTCCAATCAATTCCATATCAAAGTGTTATTTATGCCTGCTGTCCAAAAGCCTGGTCTCAGGACCACAACTTCAATTTCTTCCTGAAAGACAGGAGGGATGAAGCCAATCTTACCTCGATGGGAAGCGAGTTCCATAGGCGTGGGGCCACAGCTGAGAAGGTCCTGTCTCTCATCCCTGCTAGCCATATTTGCAATGCTGGCGGGAGAGAGAGCAGGACCTCCCTGGATGATCTTAAACTGTGAGGCGGGACGTAGAGGGAGATGCGTTCAGGCAAGTAAGCAGCAATTAGAACAAATGCCATCAAAGCCAGAATTGAAATGTCGAGGACAGATTCCAAGTGTAGGCTCTGAAAGGAAGCAGACCAAATGATGGATCACATACTCAGCTGCTGCAAGAAGATTGCACATACAGACTACAAGCAGAGGCATAATACTGATGCTCAGATGATCCACTGGACATCTGCCTGCGACAAAGAACTGATGGGATCACAAGGCTTAAGAGGTTACAGAAAATGAACACGTCAAACTACTCTGGGACTTCCGAGTTTAGACTGACAGAGTTTCAGAGCACAAGACTCCTGACCTCTCTATCGTGGAAAAAAACAAGTATCTATCATCGATGTTGCAATCCCAGGCGAAAGCAGAATGGACAAGAAGCAACTGAAAAAGCTTACACGATATGAGGATTTCAAGATTGAACTACAAAGACTGGAACAAGGTAGTGATCGGCACACTGCGTGCAGTGCCTAAAGACCTTGGTCTACACTTAAAAACAATCGGCACTGACAAAATCACCATCTGTTAGGTGCAAAAGGCCACACTCCTCAGATCTGCACGCATTATTTACCGATACATCACAGTCCCGGGCACTTGGGAAGCGTCCGATTTGTGAACGAATACAAAAGTCAACATAGTGATCTTATTTGCTGTGTTTATTTATTTATTTACTGTATTTGTATACCGCCCCTCTCAGCTCTCAGGTGACTTGACTTGTTGTGTACCTAATAATTAATAATAATAACAATAATAATAATAATAGAAGCTCAGCCTGTCATTTAACATTGAGAAAACCAAAGTGCTCTTCCAGCAGTCACCAGCCAATCTGTCTCCAATGCTAGAAATACAGCTTAATGGTGTAACGTTCGAAAATGTCCACCATTTCCGCTACCTTGGCATCCACCTCTCCACAAAAGTCAACATTGACACTGAAATACAACACTGCCTGAGCTCTTCAAGTGCAGCATTTTTCTGAATGAAGCAGAGTGTTTGAGGACTGGGACATCTGTAGGGATACCAAGGTGCTTGTTTATAAAGCTATTGTCCTCCCAACCCTGCTATATGCCTGCGAGATGTGGACAGTCTACAGACGTCACAAGCAACTTCTGGAACAATTCAATCAGCGCTGCCTTTGGAAAATCCTGCAAATCTCTTGGGAAGACAAGTGGACAAATGTCAGTCTGCTGGAAGAAGCAAAGACCACCAGCATTGAAGCGATGGTCCTCCGCCATCAACTCTGCTGGACCGGCCACATTGTCCGGATGCCCGACCACCGTCTCCCAAAGCAGTTGCTCTACTCCGAACTTAAGAACGGAAAACGGAATGTTGGTGGACAGGAAAAGAGATTTAAAGATGGGCTCAAAGCCAGCCTTAAAAACTCCGGCATAGACACTGAGAACTGGGAAGCCCTGGCCCTTGAGTGCTCCAGCTGGAGGTCAGCTGTGAACAGCAGTGCTGTAGAATTTGAAGAGGCACAAATGGAGGGCAAAAGAGAGAAACATGTCAAGAGGAAAGCATGTCAAGCCAACCCCGAATGGGACTGCCTTCCACCTGTAAACCGATGCCTTCACTGTGGGAGAAGATGCAGGTCAAGAATAGGGCTCCACAGTCACCTACGGACCCACCGCCAGGACACCGATCTTGCAAGACTATCCTACTCTGACAACGCGGGATTGCCTAAGTAAGTAATAATAATAATAATATCACAGGCAAGACTCCTCCAGATGAGTCAAATGTTACTCGAAGTTGAAGTATTTGTAGCTGTATTTTTGCATTTGTTGCCGTTTTCAAAATCCATGTTATTTTTGTTTCATTTTTCCCAGATTGTTTGCTGACAATTCCCAGAAACTTTGTATTTGCTGAGAGCGGCTGACTTTAAATAAATACAGGAAATGGAGATATTTTGTAACAAAATTGTCCTCAAAGGCTTCCTTTTCCAGCTACACCAGGCACGGGCAAACTTTGGTCCTCCAGGTGTTTTGGACTTCAACTCCCACAATTCCTAACAGCTTGATCTACATTGCTTGATCTACTTTGTAGAATGAATACAATTTGATGCCCCTTTGAGCCCTTTTTGCTGCTATGGCAGTTAAAGTGCTGTCAAACTGCACACGAGCTTGCTCCCTCCTCCCTGTGGCTTCCTCTCACATATTTATACATGGCTATCATATCCCCTCTCAGCCTTCTCTTCTTCAGGCTAAACATGCCCAGTTCCCTAAGAGGAGTGGCTTAGGGAACTGGGCATGTTTAGCCTGAAGAAGAGAAGGCTGAGAGGAGATATAGCCATGTATAAATATGTGAGAGGAAGCCACAGGGAGGAGGGAGCAAGCTTGTTTTCTGCTGCCCTGGAGACTAGGACGGAACAATGGCTTCAAACTACAAGAAAGGAGATTCCATCTGAACATGAGGAAGAACTTCCTGACTGTGAGAGCCGTTCAGCAGTGGAACTCTCTGCCCTGGAGTGTGGTGGAGGCTCCTTCTTTGGAAGTTTTAAACAGAGGCTGGATGGCCATCTGTCAGGGGTGATTTGAATGCAATATTCCTGCTTCTTGGCAGAATGGGGTTGGACTGGATGGCCCATGAGGTCTCTTCCAACTCTTTGATTCTATGATTCTACAGTGTCAAAAAACAAAGAATGCCATATTTCAATAAGTAAATTAGTGTCATTATGGAAGAAGGCGCGGGGCTACTGCGCTGAGGCCTAGGCCCGTTGCCATAGCAACCGCTGAAAACAGCGAGAAGGCATGCTAGCCATCTAAGTCACTTCGCAAAGTGGGCGGAGCGTCGTGAAGGCTCACTCTCTCGCGATTGGTCATTTCGCCAGGTGGGCGGGAGCGCTGCTAAGTGGGCGGGGCTCTGCTGGTCTTTAGCCTATCGGAAAAGCGCCGGAAGTTGAGGGAAAGGAAGTGGCGGAAGGGTAAAGCAAAATGGCGGCGCCAACCTCAGGCGCAAGGAGGTGAGAGGAAAGGTTATGGCTTCCAACTTTGCTGCTCCATCTCGTAATAACAATAAAACCTGAGTGACTCAATTGGACAAACCTTGGACATCTCTTACCCTAGGTAGTACTGTTCTCAGGGCAAGTGAGAGTGTCTCTGTGCATGTCAAGAGTTTTGACAAGGGGAGTGAATACTAACATTGGTTCGGCAGCGCCTGCAATTGCAACAACTCACAGCCTTGCTTGGGGGCCCTTAAAAGGGAAATGGGGTTTTCGTGTTATATAAGGTTTCCCCACAGAATGTACAGTTCCTTAACAGAATGAAAAATCCCAATAGGAAAGGAATGCCTATGGAAATTAGCAATAAACGATAAGTTGACATATAGGTTAAAAGTTAGGAAAGGGATATGGAAGGAAAATGATTTTGATGAGGTTTGGGGAAATTTTATTGAGAATGGTTTAATAGAAGTAGATGGGAAACTACCTCCACAAGAAGAAATGGTATTTTGGAAGGAGAATGTAAATTGAAGTGGCTGGGGGGTGGGGCACAGAGGTGAATAAAACAGCATATTACACACACATACATATATAGATGTAATGAAGGTACTGGTGTATTGATGTATCTAAAGAAAACCAATAAAAACTACTTTTAAAAAAAGGAAAGAAATGCTTTGGAATTTCAAGCGATTTCGTACTTTAAGATGGGGTTTGTACAGGATTAAATCGTCATTATAACATTAATTCCTCAATATTCTTACTCTTCTTCCCTACATTTTCTTCCTTCCCTCCTCCCTGTCAGTCTGTTCCTTCTTTTCCTCTTTCTTTTTAACCTTCCTTCTCATACACAAGTCACGTTTCTTTCCCAGTGATAACTTCTCTTATTCTCTCTTCTCTCTCTCCATTCCTTCTTGCTACCCTTCTTTCCTTTCTTCCTCTCATATCTTTCCCACTTTCCCTTCCTTCCTTGCCCTCATACGCATGTGATATAGAACCATAGAGTTGGAAGAGACCTTGTGGGCCATCCAGTCCAACCCTCTGCCAAGAAGCAGGAAAATAGCATTCAAAGCCCCCCTCCCCCCTTACATCAGATGGCCACCCAGTCTCTTGTTTAAAAGCCTCCAAAGAAGGAGCCTCTACCACACTCCGGGGCAGAGAGTTCCACTGCTGAACAGCTCTCACAGTTAGGAAGTTCTTCCTCTTGTTCAGGTGGAATCTCCTTTCCTGTAGTTTGAAGATATTGTTCTGCACCCTAGTCTCCAGGGCAGCAGAAACAAGCCTACTCCTTCCTCCTGATGACTTCCCCTCACATCTTGATCAATGGCTATGATCATGTCTCTTCTCAGCCTTCTCTTCTGCAGGTTAAACATGCCCAGCTCTTTCAGTCGCTCCTCATGGGGCTTGTTCTCCAGACCCTTGATCATATGAGTTGCCCTCCTCTAGACACATTCCAGCTTGTCAACATCTCCCTTCAATTGCACTGCCCAGAATTGGACATATTATTCCAGGTGTGGTCTGACCAAGACAGAATAGAGAGATAGCATGACTTTCCTGGATCTAGACACTAGATTCCTATTTATGCAGGTCAAAATCCCATTGGCTTTTTTTAGCCGCCACATCACATCACCAAGCTGCTTCACATCCTTTCTTTCTCTGTGACAACACAGAGGATCACTTCACCTAGCAACCGCCAATCCAGTGATATTACAGAAGGTCACCTCACCTAACAATAACCTTTGTCAGACAAACAAACATACATACTTTTGAGTTTGGGAAAGTGAGGGGCCTCTTTTACACTGTCATATAAAATCCAGATTATCTGCTTTGAACTGGATTATATCCCAGTGTAGACTCAGACCTTCCACACAGCCATATAACCAGAATATCAAGGCAGATAATCCACAATACCTGCTTTGAACTGGGTTATCTGAGTCCACACTGCCATTTAACCCAATTCAAAGCAGATAATGTTGGATTTTATTCAGCTGTGTGGAAGGGGCCTCATATAATCCAATTTAAAGCAGATAATATGGATTATCTGCTTTCATAATCTGGATTATATGGCAATGTAGAAGGAGCCTGAGAGAGAGAGAATCCTTCCACAACCCTATATCCCAGAATATCAAGGCAGAAAATTCCACAATATCTGCTTTGAACTGGGATATCTGAGTCCACACTCAGATAATGTGGGATTTTCTGTATTGATATTCTGGGATATAGGGCTGTGTGGAAGGACCCTGTGTCCACACTGTCATATATTCCAGTTTAAAGCAGAAAATGTGGGATTTTATTCAGCTGTATAGAAGGGGCCAGAGAGATTGGTAAGTAGATGATTTAGGTCTTTCTGCAGATGACAGTTTGCTGAGGATAATGCACTTGGGTCTGTGTCGAACCTTTCCCTCAGATAACTCTTCATTTGATTTAATTAATTCATTTGTGTTAATGTGGACCTAAATCCAATATCTAATCTCACTGAAGCAATGCAATTTACATGAATGTTGCTTACCTTCCAACTATCCTAATTTGGCAGAGAAAGTCCATTGGTAATCCTCTATTGCCCTGCTTTTTCTGCTGCTTCTAAAATGTCCTGGTATTTCTTTTGTACTGCTTTCCCTCATTGGGTGCAATGTAGAATTAAATCAGATTGGCACCACTTTTAACTGCCATGGGTCAGTGCTGTGGGATCCTAGGAGTTCTAGTTTTGCAAAGTCTTCAGCCTTCATTATCAAAGAGTGCTGGAGCCTCACCAAAGAACAACTCCCAATGTTGGCTTCATAGGAAACATGTTCCTTGTTAGGGCACGACATTTAAAAAGGTTTTCTCTACTATTGATAAAAGTGTCCTTACTTCTCAGAGAAGAGTAATAAGAAAAAGGAGACAGTGGCCACTGTATTATGTTGGGCTGACATAGAACTGAAAAATGAATCTTACATTTGGAACTTGAATGTTGGTTTCAGCAATAATAATAATAATAATACATTTTATTTATACCCTGCCACCATCTCCCAGAGGGACTCGGGGTGGCTCACAAAGCACTTAAAGGTGCCAATACACAAAATACAAAAAGTGCAGAAACAATAACATAAAACAATAATACTCTGTGTAGTACTCTGTAGTGTAGCATGATAGGCTCCTTCTAAACTGTCCTTGTATCCTAGTATCTGGTCCCAGATTATTTTCTTATCCTAGATTATATGACAGTGGAGACTGATATAATCCAGTTCAAAGCAGGTAACCTGGGATCCGATCCTGGGATATAAGGACAGTGTCAAAGGGACTAGAGATGTACATGTACTTTTGGTCCATTAAGAGCTAAGAAATGTTAGTAGCTATTTAGAAATGAATGGCTGTCCTAATTCAATCAAACTTAAGGCCCTATGGGGAGAAAGGCATGATAGAAATAAAATAATACCTGTTTTCAGACAGAAATGTATTTGATGAGCACCTCCTTCTCCCCCTTCTTCAGTAAATTGGGGTCATTTCAATTACAGATCCATTGAAAGTCTGTTTATGAAACAGAGTTAAACAGAAGAATTAAAAGGTAGGTAGAATACATTTTCCCACCAAAATTCCATTGGAAAAACATGGGCAGCAGAGACTTGAAGCAAAGGAGGGTTGGGGTTAGCAATAAGATACAGACAGAAGGCAAAGGAAGATCTGGAAGAGAGAGAGATATTATTTGTAGCTTACTTCCTGGAATTAAGTTACATTCCAGATTAATATTCAGAGGCTCAGTGGGATGTAGTGGTTTAGAGTGATGAGTTGATATTTTGGAGAGCCAAGTTCAAGTGTCGACTAAGCAGTCACCCTCAGTTTGACCAACCTCATGGGGTTTTAAGGACAGAGGAGATCTATAGACACTACTATGAAGTCATTGAAAAGAAAGCAGATTTATTTATTTATTTGAAACATTTATGTTCCGCCCTTCTCACCCCGAAGGGGACTCAGCGGCTGAGCACAACATATATCCGACAAGCATTCTATTTAATAATAATAATTTATATCCCACTCTTCTCACCCCTAGGGGGCTCAGAGCGGGCTTATAGACCATGGCAAAGCCACATTACATATACAACCATAAATACAACATATCAATTTAAACAGTTAAAATATAAGTACAATGAAACAGTACAGTTAAAATATAAGTACAATAAAATATAAGTACAATACAACAGCTTAAAAGTATACACTCAATCCCTTAAAAGCTTAAAAGCATACATTCAATCGGTATTGCTATGGCTGGGCAGCGAGGCTGTTGAAGTGGGGGTGGGGGCCATGGAGGCACCTCGCCTAAGAGTTGTAAGGCAGCAGGCCCAGAGAGGTGTTACTATGGCTGGCAGCGGGCAGCTAGGTCATAAGTATATACTTAAGTATATTTAAGTATTACTTATGTAATATCTTGTAATTACAGATGTTTTCATCAGAAGTGCACCCTACTAGGTGCAAAGGAGAGCAAGGCTATGGATGACATGACGTTCCGAAGTGATACTGTGCTGTCTGACGTCCACCTGCATGTGCCGCAGAAAAGGCAGTTTATGGTCAGGCTGAATGCCGTTGGCCAGCCAGGTAAGGTATCAGATAGTGTCATAAAAGCTGCCGGCATCTCTTCCACCTTCTATGTGTGATGCCAGCACATTGTCACCAATGACTGCTTTTCTGAAAATCTTTCCCTCTCCCATTGGCCCATAATGTAATAAAATGCAAATATCAGGGCATCATTGAGTTACAGAGCATATACTGAGTTGGAAAAAATGTCATCCAGAGTTGTCAAGAGCTCAAATCCAAATAATTACTAATGTTGTATGACTTTTATTGAAATCAACTCTTGAATTTAAGAGACAGGCTGGTCTACCCAGTCAATTTTTAACTATGAAGTTTAAACTCATGTCCTGTGTTTACTGTATTTTAATCTTTTTGTGTGTATTTTAATGTATGCATTTTATAAAAAACATGTTTTAATATATTTATTTACATGATGTTTTATAGTGATCTGTTTTTAACTGAGAATAATAATAATAATAATAATAATAATAATCAGTTCTATTTACCTCAGATCCTTCTCTTTTAGTATTTCTCTCACAGTTCAGACTCCTTTGGAACTCTGAGAAAGAAGAGAGAGAATTTAAGGGAAAAACCTTCAGAGGCCAGGACATCTCTGCAGAAGAAGAATATGTGCAGGAAGGTGCAAGTGATCTAGGTTCCCCAGGCAGTACCGAAGAGGAGGAAGGAGGCTCTTTAAAAGGAATCAGAGCTTTGTTGGATGAAGATGGAGATCTGGAGGTTGTCCGAAGGCCCCTCTTTGCTTATGCAGAAGACGAGGATCTCCCAAGGGACAAGGTGTGTCCTGTCATTTTGATGCAAGGTGGAGCTGTCTTGGAAGAGCACGAGGAAGAAAGCAGTTCTGGTGACGTTATTAAAATAGGTGAGTAATGTAACACCTGGATAAGGCATTAACACCGAACTCAGCTTAAGCTAAAATGATTTGTGATTACGGGGAAGGGGGGGACCAGACTACAGATGGCTACTGTCTGTTTCCTCCAATGTACCCTAAGTATTATGTTTCAGTATAATTTACCTCACTCAGTTGCTATATGAATGAAATGGGAACTGACATGTAAACTGCCTTAAGCTGCTTGGAAGAAAGGTAGAATAGAAAGGCAATAAATAACTGATCTTTCCTAAACATGTTTAGGAGTGTCTGCACTAGACAAGTAGGTTACAATGAGGTAGACAGTCTAGTGCAGTGGTTCTCAACCTTTGGTCCTCCAGGTGTTTTGGACTTCAGCTCCCGCAATTCCTAACAGCTGGTTCTGGGAGTTGAAGTCGAAAACACTCAGAGGACTATAAGTTGAGAACCACTGTTCTAGTGGTTTGAACATTGGACTACAGCTCTGGGGACCAGGGTCCAATTCCATGTCAGCCATGGAAACCCATTGGAACTGTCTATGATCCACCTCGAAGGATAAGATTGTCAGGGGAGGCCCTGCTCTCGGTCCCACCCCCCTCACAAGCGTGACTGGTGAGGATGAGAGACAGGGCCTTCTCAGTGGTGTCACCTCGTCTATGGAACTCTCTCCCCAGTGAAATGAGAATGCCCCCCTTCCTCTTGGCCTTCAGAAAAAACTAAAAACTTGGGATCAAGCTTTTGACCAATAATAGGAGCGAGGTTGTAAATTAATTTTAATGATGACCCAGACAATGTGATTTTAAATTGTTGTTTTCATGTTATGTTTTAATTGCATGGTTTAAATGTTTTGTTGATCCATTGATGTATGTATACATGTGGCATTGAATTGTAACTTTTTAAAGGCCGCCTTGAGTTCCCTTCGGGATTGAGAAAGGCAGGCTACAAATATGATAAATAAATAAGCAAGCTCAAACAAACTGGAGATATTTTGAACTCCAGTTCTGATCAGCCCAAGCCTGCTGGGACTTGTAATCGCCAGATTTCTGTCCCTGATCTGCTAGTGTTTGCATAAAACATTGTGTTTGATGGGAAAGTGTAAGAAGAAATGTATTGTCATAAGGTAGAATGCTTTGTTTCCTTTCCTCTTCCAGAGCACACCATGGCAACTCCATTAGAAGATGTGGGCAAACAGGTGGGTAGCTTCTTTGCCCCCTTGCCTCTTTATTCTTTGTCATGTGCAAAGCATCCCAGACTATCTTTGGCCTCTGGTTTTACAGGTCTGGCGTGGAGCCTTCCTCCTGAGCGACTTCATCCTCTGCAACGAAGATTTGTTCAAAGATCGCACAGTGCTGGAACTTGGGGGAGGCATGGGGATTGTCAGCGTTATCATGGCAAAAGCAGCCAAGACTGTTTATTGCACAGGTACCTATTCAGTGCAATTATCTTGAACGTGTGCTTTAAAAATGTTCAGATTAGCATCCATTCAAGCTGACATTTCAAAAGCAGAAGACATTTTAGAGAGTATGAAGCCTCTCTGTATTTTTTTTGTTCTTACCTGTTCTTCATTCCTTTTAAATTATTGCTCTCAAATTTTTAAAGATATTGGAGAAGATCTTCTGGACATGTGTGAACGAAATATTGCCTTAAACAAGCACTTCGCTGAACCAGCAGGTACAGCTTATTGAAATATTGTTTGTATTACCACTAGAATTCAGCATTCTTATTCATTCATTAATTCATACTAAGTGCATGGTGGTTTGAGTGTGGGTCCTTTGACTCTGGAGAACAGTTTCAAATCTCTTCTCAGACATGAAAACCTTTGTTAGCCTCTGAAAACCCTGTGACTGGGTTGCCTTTGGTTGCCATAAGTTGGAAACAACTGGAAAGCACACAGTAATAACAACAGCAATCCAAAATATTGCCTTGGTTGCTGTATGTTTATTTATCATGTAGTAATGAATTTAGGGTACGGTTAAAATATATTTAAAATACAAACAAAGTTAAAAACTTGGCATTATACTAAATTTCCTTTGTCCAGTAGCTGGCCATTTGGAGTGCCTCTGGTGTCGCTGTGAGAAGGTCCTCCATTGTGCATGTGGCAGGGCTCAGGTTGCATTGTAATAGGTGGTCTGTGGTTTGCTTTTCTCCGCACTTGCATGTCATGGACTCCACTTTATAGTCCCATTTCTTAAGGTTAGCTCTGCATCTCGTGATACCAGAGCACAGTCTGTATGGTGTGAGAACATAGGAAGGAACCTTATACCACATCAGGCTAGCCTAATCCTATCAGTATTGACTGGCAGATGTTCTCTAGCATTTCGGACAGAAACTTTTCTATCTCACAGATGAGACCTGGGACCATTTATCTGCTAAACATGTTTTTCTACATTGAGCTTTGATCCCACCGTAAAGGCATCAACAAAGGCAGATTCCCATTCTGTCAATTGGGTCCCATCTCCACTGGCATATAATGCAGTTTGAAACTGCATGATATGGTCAGTGTAAACTCCTATAACACATTTGAACTGTATTATATGATAATGTAGATGTGGTCGTAGTCTTTAAGGTACTACAAGAACCTTTTGCATATGTATTAACACAGCTAAGTTTTTGAATTATAATCATTTAAAGTTTATCCTGTCATTTATATTGGATTTCTGGAGAAATTTCCTTGTATTCCTGTGTTTGTTTTTCTTACACCCTTCTTGGCAGGGGGTTGGACTGGATGGCCCATGAGGTCTCTTCCAACTCTTTGATTCTATGATTCTATGATACACCCATACATACATATTTTAAAAAACTACTTTATCTGGGATGCTAATTTACAGTATTTTCTTATTTTTCTCTACTTGTCATGTGTCCTTGAATGAATATTTGCCACTTAGTCATTTATCATCTTATTGATTTGCAGAAAGTAAAGTAAAGGTCAGAGTATTGGATTGGTTGCAGAATGATTTCTTTGCTGGTAAGTAGAAGTATCTGCTTTTAAACCAATGAATGTTACAGTTTTCCTCTCCCTTCTCTTTATATAATGTCACGTATTTATGTTTTGAATATGCACCTTTACAAAAAAAAATCTTACCATTTGCAAAAAAAAATTTTTTTTATTTTCCTGCAGATCCTGATAACGCCTACAGTTGGTCTGAAGAAGAGATAGCTGAACTGCATGACTTCACTACTGTGATAGTAGCTGCTGATGGTAAGATATCACTAGATAGCATAGAGAAAGATTGGGTAGCCATTTAAAACCCACATTTTGTGTCTTTATGTGTTTCAGTATTCTGAACAACCTGTCCAAGCTGCAATTTTAAGAATCCAGTGACTCATCTTGTGGTTCTAAGATTAGAATGAGAAACCTCATTCAAAACAGGTAGCCTGTTCTAAAAGATGGAAATTAGATATCGCTGGAGAACAATGATAGATGTGCATCTTGAAGCGAGACAGAGAGACATTTCTCTGGATTTAAAGTGGTGTCTGGAAAGCTTCCTTGCTGTCACAGGCTGGAGGATTTATTTTGGTAGAAACACATTCCATTTTCCCTTTACAAGCCCCTTTAAATTAAATAGGACTTGTGGAAGGGGCAACTGTTTCCATGTATTTCAGTGATGGGCTGTCCGCTGTAACAACTTTCTAAAATTTCACAGATGAAAATCCAAATAGCTGTGACCATGCTAGAAGAGCTTGCAGCAGTTTACTTTGGCCTAAGTGTGTTGGAAAGGGCCACATTCTTGCTCTTGCACTTTTAATAACACACAAGCTACTTTTTCGCTTTGAGTTTATTTGCTGCTATTAAAGTAAGCTGAGGACAAGAGCGGCCCAATCCTATCAGATTGGGATAGCTGGTGATATGTAACAGGCCCCAATATGTTGTCATAAGCCTTTCATGGACAGAATCACTGGGTTTCTGTGAGTCTTCCGGCCTGTATGTCCATGTTCCAGAAGCATTCTCTCCTGATGTTTCTCCCACATCTATGGCAGGCATCCTCAGAGTTGTGAGGTTTACTGGAAACCAGCCAAGTGAAGTTTATATATCTGTGGAGTGATGTCCAGGGTGGGAGAAAGAACTTGCTTGAGGCAAGTGTGAATGTTGCCATTGGCCACCTTGATAAGCATTTAATGGCCTTGCAGTTCAAGGCCTAGCTGCTTCCTGCCTAGAGGATCCTTTCTTGGGAGGTGTTAGCTGGCCCACATTGATTCTTGTCTGGAATTCCCCTGTTTTTTTAGTGTTGCTATTTATTTACTAGCCTGATTTTAGAGTTTTTTTTATACTTGTAGCCAAATTTTGTTCATTTTCATGGTTTCCTCCTTTCTGTTGCTTGTGGATTTCAGTGGCTTCTCTCTGTATTCTGACATAGTAGTCTGACATTTCTGTGTGTCTATAAACCCACTGAGAAAATCCAACCAATGCTACATTCAGCAAAGGACAAGAGGGATCCTCTCACCTCTTCAGGAGTCTACCGTATACCATGCAGCTGTAGACAAGTCTACACATGGACCCTCAAATGCAGCAGCATTGCCCAGACACGAATGAAGGAACACGAAAGGCACTGCAGATTAAGTCAACCAGAGAAGTCAGCCATAGCAGAGCACCTGATGAACCAACCTGGACACAGGATATTATTTGAGAACAGAGAAGCCATTGAAATGCACAAGCATGTGGACAATTTCAACAGAAAGGAGAAAACCATGAAAATGAACAAAACCTGGCTACCCATATTGAAAAACTCTGAAATCAGGACAGTAAATAGAGAACAACGCTCAGAAAACAGGGGAATTCCAGAGAAGAAAAATCATGGCCAGCTAACACTTCCTTCCCAACAAAGGCTCCCCCAGGCAGCAACCAGCCAGGCTTTGAAGCTGCAAGGCCATTCAATGCTAATCAAGATGGTCAATTGTGAAATGTTTCAAAAATTGACAATATTTACAGATTGACGTCAATGGGTGGAGAAAAACACTTCAGCTACTCCATGCAAATCAATGTGTGAAATTACCTCTTTCCTTTCTTACTTCTGTAGTCTTCTACGATGATGATCTAACAGACGCCTTTTTTAGAACGCTTTATCGAATCACTAGCAACTTGAAAAACCCTTCCACCATCTACTTGTCAATAGAAAAAAGGTGAATTGTGGGTTTTTTTGCTCTTCAGCACATTGGTAGGATTAGTTTGTTTTGAATGTTGCCAGTGCTTAGAATCCTTTATTGTCTGTGAGTGGGCAGTTCCTTTGTTTGTCAAGAAGCTTTCCAAATATCTTTGAATGTGAAGTTTGTCAATTCAAAACAAAAATGATAATGCAGATTACGATATACATCGGGTAAGAGGGGGAAAACATTTTGTGGAGGTTACACTGAACAGTCATGCTTTCCAATTAAGACTGAGCAATAGCTTTAGCTCATAATATATGCGCAAGAATCCAGAATTCTGAAGTTCTGTTGAAAAACACTCAGAGTACACAGAGAAACAAGAAAGCAGATAATCATGCATCATCTTGTGCCTTACCTTTGGACCTTTTTCCTTTGACGCATAGTACATTGTGTGGGAACACTTCTGTTCTAATCGACTGGTCTCAAAGACATTGATTCATTATTTGTTTACCATCAAACAAGCCACCATTTTCTGTCAGGTCAATCCGTGATATTGTTTGAGACTATCCTGGGAAAAGTGTCTCAGTTATTGATTATAGAGTTGGAAAGTTCTCCAAAACCCATCTTAGTTCAGCTCTCTACAAATGCAGGAATCCAGAGCTGAAGCACATTTGAATGGCAGCCATTCAGTCCTTGTTAATAAGCCTCCAAAGAAAGAGAATCCAGTACTTTCTGGAGTGGTTTCAAACAGCTCTTACCATTCTTTCCAATACAGTGCCGGCCCCATATCTGAGGGGAATGCATTCCATGACTTTGTGTGAATATGCAAAACAATGGGGAAAAGCAGACCCTATTGAACAAATGACTTAATACAGAAGCATACATTAAAGTCACACTGGAGAACCTGGGAAATGCCTAGGCATCACTAGGTTCTCCAACACAACTTTTAGCAGAACTATAGAATCACCTGGAAGATCTAGAAAATGCCTAGAGAGGACGTCATTTATCCATTAGGAGTAAATGAAACCACAAGTATCAGTTCAATGGTTATGGGGGCCATACTGTACTTAAGCAAAATATCTGTTCTTGTAATTTGAATCCACTATTTGGGCTCTACTGTGCCCAATTTTGGGCAAAACAAGTCAAAAGGGGTATTGACTCTAAGCTGGAAGAGGTTCCAGAGGCAGAGGGTGAGTAAAAGGCCAAGAGACCATGAATCTCTCTGAGGAGTGGCTTAAAGAGCTGCGACTGTTTATCCTGCAGAAGAGAAGTTTGAGAGGAGATATGAGAGCCATGTTTCGATATTGGAAAGAATGCCATAAGGAAGGAGGAGGAGGGATTTTTCTGCTTCTCTGGAGACGATTTATTTATTTATTGCATTTATATACTGCTTTTATATACCCATGGTGGTGCAGCGGGATAAACTGTTGAGCTGCTGAACTTGCTGATCAAAAGGTTGGCAGTTTGAATCTGGGGGCAGTGTGAGCTCCCGCTGTTAGCCCCAGCTTACGACTTTCGTGCTTGGCAAGAGATTGGACTGGATGGCCCACGAGGTCTCTTCCAACTCAAGGATTCTATAATTTTATGAATCTGCCCACCTAGCAGTTCGAAAACATGCAAATGTGAATAGATCAATAGGTACCGCTCTGGAGGGAAAGTAACGGAGCTCCATGCAGTTATGCTGGCCACATGACCTTGGTGTTTATGGACAATGCCGGCTCTGTGGCTTAGAAATAGAAATGAGCACCACCCCCAAGAATCAGGCACAACTAGACTTAATATCAAGCGGAAACCTTTACCTTTACTTTACCTTTTCTCACCCCTGGGGGACTCAAAGTGGTTCACATCAAATAATGGCAAAAAATCAATGCCAATGACTAGGACTCAATAGAACCATGGGTTCAAGTGATAGGAAAGGAGATTCCACCTGAATGTAAAAAAAAAACTCCCTGACCATTGGAAGAGCTGTTCAGCAGTGAAACTCTCTGTCTCAGAGCCTTCTTTAGAGGCTTTTGAGCAGAAGCTAGATGGTCATCAGTTTGGGGTACTTTGATTGTGCTTTTCCTGCATGGCAGAAGAGATTTGGTCTGGATGTGGTCTCTTCCAATGCTGTGATTCTATGATTCCTTAGATCTATTTCTTGCCACAAACGTGCTAGTCTCTGTGAGACTGTATGGCCTTATGTCGGGTGGGATCGGATGGTGAATTCGTTTATGGCAGATTGGGGAGGGCCTTTGGGAGATCTGTTCCAGCTCTTGGATTCTATGATTCTACACCATTTAGGATAGTAGAAAACAAGCTTGCTCCATTTTCTTTGCCTATTTCTGTGGGAGTTTTTTTTAATTGTAAAGAATCTTCAAGATATCTGAAATGGCTGTCTTTTCCCCAGGCTGAACTTCACCTTGCGACACATGGATGTGGTGTGCGAAGCATACAGCCATTTCCGAAGTGCCTTGCATGACCTACGGGATATCAAGGATGGCAGAACGAGGTTCACCGTGGAGCCCCTTCAGCTCTCCTTCCCACAGCGCTTTGTTTACGAGCGAGTGGAGCAATTGGTGGGTCCCGCTTCCTGGCAAATTAAATTACCCTCTGAGTTGTTCTCCCTTTAATCAGAGCAGAGTCGCAATCGAAGAATTGACGTCGCCTTGTAATTCTCCGCTCGACTGAATTCAGCCGAAGCAAATGGTCTGCGTCATTTTTAACTTCACAGCCCACTAAGTTCCTCTTAATATAGATAGAGAATAGAGGCTGGGGTTGAAAGTTGCCATCGGATATCAAGGCCTAAAGGGGGATCCCAAGAGTATGGAAACACTGTATCACTAGAAATAGGTTGGCTAGGATATCTCGATTATTTAACCATACCTGCAGCAGGGAGCCCCCAGTGGTACAATGAGTTAAATCCTTGTGCCGGCAGGACTGCTGACTAAAAGATCAGCAATTCGAATTCAGGGAGCAGGGTAAGCTCCAGTCTGTCAGCTCCAGCTTCCCATGCGGGGACATGAGAGAAGCCTCCCACAGGATGGTAAAACATCCGGGCATCTCCAGGGCAACATCCTTGCAGAAGGCCAGTTCTCTCACACTAGAAATGACTTTCAGTTTCTCAAGTTGTGCCTGACACACAAAAAAAGCACCAGGAATGGCAAAGTTAGTAAAAAAGGGTCAGTGTGTTTACTTAGTCACTAATAAGCAAAATAAATCTAATTCCATTATGTTTATACTTGTGTATAAGTTGACACCAGGGCTAATCTGAAAGGTCATTCTGTAGAGAGAGAAAGCATCAGCATCATGAGTCAGATCCATAGAAGTCAAAACCACAATGCAGAGGGATGACTTTATGACTACTAATAACATTTACTGGTGGATAAATCGACACAAGATTTTTTGAGTTGATTCCCCCCCCCCCCTAAAATTAAAAGATTAAAAGTGTAATCTTAAATGGCAAGGAATGTGACGTTAATGGTCACATTCCTTGCCATTTAAGATTAAATTCTGAGCTAGAATCCTGATGGACTGGAAGGAAACATAAAATTTTGAAAACTTTGTTTCTCACTCTACCAAGAACCTTTATGAGTCCTGAGTCCCCCTAGGGGTTGAGAAGGTCGGGGTAAAAATGTTCTAAATAAATAAATATGTTGTTTTTCTTTTTCTCCATAACGTCCCCATTTTTTATTTACTTTTACAAAGTCCAGAAAAATTCCCAGAAATAAGAGCCCCACAGTTCAGATTCCTGAGCTAGAGGAGGAGTCTTTGTACAGAACATAGGACTAGATGAATACAATAAAAACCAGCCTCCTCCCAATCTAAATCTTTATTTGAAATCTTGGAATTTACTGACATTGGATAAAAATGAACAAATATACCCCACAGCAATTTAGTGGAGCCCCTGGTGATGCAATGGGTCAAACCCTTGTACCAACAGGACTGCAGACCAAAAGACCGCAGTTCGAATCCAGGGAGCAGGATGAGCTCCCATCTGTCAGCTCCAGCTTCCCATGTGGGGACATGAGAGATGCCTTTCACAAGGATGGTAAAACATCAAATATCTGGGCACCTCCTGGGCAACGTCCTTGCAGATGACCAATTCTCTCACACCAAAAACGACTTGCAGTTTCTCAAGCCGCTCCTGACACACACAAAAATAGCAATTGAGTAAAGAATCGGCTGGGAAATGCCCCCCCCCCCCCCCCCCCCCGGAACAAGCCCATCAGCTGGCTCTTTAGCAGCATCTTTCATTTCATTAATGAACTGACTTAATTCTTGAATTAAGTTAATTCTGGAAGTTTGACTTAAATCAATCAAGTTGAAAAATAGATGTCATTAAGTATCTCCTTTTGGTGACAGAATTTCTAAGAAAATTGAAAACTTAATTGATATCAGTTAGTTCCTATCACTGGGTTAGAGCATCAGTCTTTCCATCATTTAGTTACATTACTGGAATTTAGAGGAGGGAGACAGGAGTGAATTTTCTAGGGGAAGGACTATCAATTCAACTCAGTTTCTCAAAACAAATTCTTTTTCATTCAAGCATTCATTGAACAAGAGTTGTGCTGGAAGACCAAGAAATCCCTAGAGTGGTATTCTCTCTGGTAAAAAAAGTAGCAATTTATTTTCTTGTGATTTTCCTTTTACATGGGAGCCCTGTGCCCCCATGAAAAAGGGGACTGTCTGCAAATACAAGTATTCCAATGTCTGAAATTGAAGCATTTCAGATTAGGGATACTCAACCTGTAATACAATTGGCATTTATGATGAAGGGTTTGCCCCTTTTTAAAAATAAGTATATTCTAGTGAAAAGTCTTCTAATGATAGTATTTAATTTTGAATATCTTGCTTTTGCTTCACAGGAGCTATGGAAGATTACTGCTGACAAGATCTGTGAAAGGTGCACCGCTGCACAGCCTTTGTGAGAGACTACAACAGAATGGCATGGCTTTTTCTGCAGAAGCGTTTCCCTCTCAAGTCCTCTCCAAAAGAAACCACTTGCGAGGCAGGAGGGAAGGCAATGTTCTCTGCTGAGTGTCAAAGAATGATTAAAGATATCGGTTGCAGCAGAGGCTCCTTCAGCGTGATTTGTGAGCTGGAGCTGCTCGAGTTATGTTCCGGAAGATGGGCGGCTTGGGATATGCAGCATTAAGGGCAGTCAGGAAAACAGGACCCCAGTGAGCAGCATTTCATGCCCATTGTGCCAATCACAGTATTATAATAAAGAGGCTTTGGACGCCTGTACTGCAGCACAGATAGGTTTCCATGGATCGCATCAATCACATCTTCTGCGTTCGACGTGGGACGTGAGCTTTGGATCACGATGATCCGGTAATATTTGTGCCGGAAGTGGATGCAATTACAGTGCTAAATACTGGGAACACTTTGCTGCTACAAGATAAGCTCTATCACGACCCTATCATTGGGTTATCTGGAAGTGAGAGTGTGTGACCCTCCTAAGGTCAGCATGTCCTAACAGATTTTTAAAGAAGATCAAGCCAAGGATTGCTGTGTTTTATGTAGTTTGACAGATTTTTAAATGGATTTTTAAATGGTTTGAATGGTTTTCTTGAACTATTTATTTTAATAAGTCATGTGTTTAATTCTATTTTAATTTTTGTGTGCTTTGGATTTTAATTTTTACAGTTCAGACAATTCCGGATTTTGGGGTATTTCAAATTTTAGAATTCCGGATAAGGGAACGTGTCTTGTAAACTCTGGGACTCTTGTAATTTTCATCAAATTCTGGTCCCAGAATTTTTGTACCATTGAAAACTTACCTCTAGATGTCACTATAACTGAAGATTGTTAACAGTAAAGATGAATTAATTTTTTTTTAATTACACAGATACCTGTATTTAAAAAACTAGAACAAGATTATATAAAATATGCAAAATCCAATAATAAAACATATCAGTTTTAACCAATCAAACAATAGCAATCTGTTCCATATTATCTCCATCACAAGCCACTGTCAACACCTTTTAAAATGCTTATTTTTTTTATTTATTTACTAGCCGTCCCCTGCCACGCATTGCTGTGGCCCAGTCTGGTGATCTGGAAAATAAAGTAATGTGAAAGTGTTGGTTTGTAATATATGTAATTTCTTTATGCTTGTGGGCAAACAGTATTTCTTGCAGTTTCTTTATCACTGTTGATATAGAGATTGCCTGGTTTGCCTACTCTGGAACATGCAATATATCATTGTCCTTCTTTAGGGGCCCCTTTCAAATCTAGGATACTATATCTGAGTGTGTGTGAATCATATATATCTATATCTGTGGCTGGATGGCTCTTTGTCAGGAGAGCTTTGATTACATTTTCCTGCCCTGGTGAAAGCAGTTGGACTGGATGGCCTTAGGTATTTTCTGTTGGTCATGGGGGTTCTGTGTGGGAAGTTTGCCCCAATTATGTTGTTTGTGGGGTTCAGAATGCTCTTTGATTGTAGGTGAACTATAAATCCCAGTAACTACAACTCCCAAATGTCAAGGTCTATTTCCCCCCAGACTCCACCTGTGTTCACATTTGGACATATGGAGTTTTCATACCAAGTTTGGTCCAGATCCATCATTGTTTGAGTCCACAGCACTCTCTGGATGTAGGTGAACTACAATTCCAAAACTCAAGATCAATGCCCACCAAACCCTTCTAGTGTTTTCTGTTAGTCATGGGAGTCCTGTGTGCCAAGTTTGATTCAGTTACATAGTTGGTGGAGTTAAGAATGCTCTTTGATTGTAGGTGAACTATACATCCCAGCAACTACAACTCCCAAATGACAAAATCAATTTTTTGAGTGATAGTCACTCATTGTCCTGATAGGTGTCTTGTATCCAAATTTGGTGTCAATTCGTCCAGTGGTTTTTGAGTTATGTTAATCCCACAAGCGAACATTACATTTTTATTTATATAGATTTATACCCCGTCCATTCTCGACCTCCGAAGAGGGACTCAGGATGGTTACTAACAGGCAGCAATTAGATGCCCACACAATATAAACACATAATAAAACACAATCAGATACCTAAAAACAATATCAATATACATTAAAACAATTCGCCAGGTTAAAAACATAATCCAAATTGGTCCAAATTGCTTCTATTGTTGATTGATTTGCTGAAATCTGACAAACAGTCACAAGTTATAAATAATGTTAGCTGAGACTGACTATAAAGTAAAATTATTTAAATGGCCTTCAAAAAGTTAATAAGAAATAAGAGATGGGTATATGGGGAGAAAGTGTACCCCCCATAACCATTGAATTATAACCGGAAGCTTCAGATGGTCCAGCGCTCGGCAGCCAGGTTGCTAACAGGAGCGGCACTCAGGGAGCATACCACTCCTCTGTTGAACCAGCTCCACTGGCTGCCAATCTGCTACCGGGCACAATTCAAGGTGCTGGCGCTAGCCTACAAAGCCCTAAACGGTTCCGGCCCCACTTACCTCTCCGAACGCATCTCCACCTATGAACCGACGCGAACATTAAGATCTTCCGGGGAGGCCCTGCTCTCGGTCCCGCCTGCATCACAGGCACGGCTGGCGGGGACGAGAGACAGGGCCTTCTCGGTGGTGGCCCCTCGGCTATGGAATGCCCTACCCATTGACATCAGACAGGCCCCTTCGCTGCTGGCGTTTCGAAAGAAGGTTAAAACCTGGCTCTTTGAGCAAGCGTTTGGCTAATCAGCGCAATCAAACATAGGATGACGGTAAATTGAACATAGGAATGGCACAAGGATTATGAGATTGGATTTTGCTTTGTGATCGAGGCATTATGTATGAATGATTAATTATGTATTTTGTTATTGTGTATGATGTGTTTTAAATTGTTATTGTTGTGTTAATTTACATTGTGTAAACCGCATTGAGTCACCTAATTAGGTTGAGAAATGCGGTATAGAAATAAAGCAAATAAATAAATAATAAATAAATAATTATAGAATTATAGAGTTGGAAGAGACCTTGTGGGCCATCCAGTCCAACCCCCTGCCAAGAAGCAGGAAAATTGTATTAAAGCATACCAGACAGATGGCCATCCAGCCTTTGTTTAAAAGCCACCAAAGAAGGAGCCTCCACCACACCATGGGACAGAGAGTTCCACTGCTGAACAACTCTCACAGTTAGGAAGTCTTTCCTAATGTTTAGGAATGTCCTACAATGTTTAATGTCCTGCAATTTGAAGCCATTGTTCGCAACCTAGTCTCCAGAGCAGCAGAAAACAAGCTTGCTCCCTCTGACTTCCCCTCACATCTTGATACATGGCCTTCATCATACCTCCTCTCAGCCTTTTCTTCGGCAGGCTAAACATGCCCATCGCATTACCCTAATCACAACTCATGATCATTCTCATAGGACCTTTTGGATGTTCCGACCACTATATGATGAAGTGATAGATTTTTGAATCGAAAAACTATGCTTCATGACCACACAACATATAGTCAAGATGGTAAAAGGTATTAATGTAGTGGTTCTCAACCTGTGGGTCTCCAGATGTTTTGGCTTTCAACTCCCAGAAATCCTAATTGGCTGGGATTTCTGGGAGTTGTAAGCCAAAACACTTGGGGATCCCCAGGTTTAGAACCACTATAGTAATTACAAACACACAAGCTAGGAGAGACTGCAATGGGTTGCTTTTACCTGAGCTGACTAAGAAGGATCATAGTTTGCTTCCCCACTGACTCATTTTAATGCAATTTACTGTATTACCTCTATTTAAGACATACTTTCCCCACATATAAACATTTCTAAAAATGGGGTGTATCTTCATATTTTGTCGGTGGTGGCACTGCAATTATTGTGCGTCTTACAATCAATAGCACCTCCGAATCAAAAAAAAAAGGTAACTTTTGCATTTTCAATTCAGTTTGCAGTAATTGAAGTAAGGAAAGCACAAAGGAGGAAAGTGGGAGGAGAGAGGAAAAACCAGGACATTTTAACCACAACAAGAAAAATGGAATTGCAAAGGATTAATGGAGTGATTCCTTGCCATATCAGGATGCAGTGTTTCTCAACCTTCCTCATGCCGCAACCCCATAATACAGATCCTCATGTTGTGGTGACCCCCAACCATAATATTATTTTCGTTGTTGCTTCATAACTGAAAATTTGCTACTATTACGAATTGTAATGTAAATATCTAATATGCATTCACTGGACCAAATTTGGCACAAATACCCAATACACCCAAATTTGAATACTAGTGGGGTTGGGCGAGGGGTTGATTTTGTCAATTGGGAGTTGTAGTTGCTGGGATTTATAGTTTACCTAAAATCAAAGAGCATTCCGAACTCCACCAACAATGGAATTTAACCAAACTTGGCACACAGAAGTCCCACGACCAACAGAAAATACTGGCAGGGTTTGGTGGGCACTGACCTTGAGTTTGGGAGTTGTAGTTCACCTAGATCCAGAGAGCACTGTGGACTCAAACAATGATGGATCTGGACCTAACTTGGCACAAATACTCAATATGCCCAAATGTGGCATTTGGGGAAAATAGATCTTGACATTTGGGAGTTTAGTTGCTGGGATTTATAGTTCACCTACCATCAAAGAGCATTCTGAACCCCATCAATGATAGAATTGGCCCAAACTTCCCACTCAGAACCCCCATGACCAACACAACATACTGTGTTTTCTGATGGTGTTTGGCGACCCCTCTAACACCCCCTTGCGACCCCCTCAGGGGTCCCGACCCCCAGGTTGAGAACCACTGGGATAGAGGGAGAGTATGTTATCCTTAAACATTTTGCAGGGAGAAGGAGATCTCTTCTCTTACTACTCCATTATGCCATGGATTGCCAGCAAAAAAAGCATAGACAAAAGTGTTCAGAGAGGTAACTACGCATTCGGTTTGGCTTTTGCCAGTGAATAGGTTTCCAACAATGTTTCCCTCCGAAGAGATTTGAGTGCATGGTCAATTTCAAAAGAACAAAGCAAAGCTGTTAGACAAAACAGTACAAGAACTTCCAATACAAAAGAGAAATTGTGAAGGGGGATGTCTGGAGAATTACAGAAAAGCAAGAAGAAATCAATATCAGCATAGCCTGTATGGGCAAACAAAAGGAGCAGTCCAAATCTCTTTAGGTGGAAAGCCGGATTTAATGGTTTGCTTTCTGCTGCAGGCATCTTCTGTCTTCCGAAGCACACCCGATAAATTCCAGTTCTCTTCCCGTTTGCCTTAATTTGTTCAAACATATTTTTTCACATGGTGAAATTCACTATAACCTATGTTTACAATTCAGACCTGTACTTGGGAGAAAGACTGGGTAGTAATTCATTAAATAAACTATTAATTAGGCAGTTTTCAGCTTGTCAATATCTTCAAATTGGGGTGCTGAGGACTAGATACAGTATTGCAGGTGATACCCGACCAAAATTGAGCCCCCAGTGGCGCAGTGGGTTAAACCACTGAGCTGCTAAACTTGTTGACCGAAAGGCCGCAGGTTCGAATCCAGGGAGCGGTGTGAGCCTCCGCTGTCAGCCCCAGCTTCTGCCAACCTAGCAGTTAGAAAACATGCAAATGTGAGTAGGTCAATAGGTACTGTTGTTTAACATCTATATGAAACCGCTGGGTGAGATCATCCGGAGTTTTGGAGTTTGATGCCATCTGTATGCAGATGACGTCCAACTCATTTCCACCAGATGCTAAGGAAGCTGTCCAAGTCTTGAACCAGTGCCTGGCTGCTGTGACAGTGGTCCACACACTCGTTACATCTAGGATAGACTACTGCAACACACTCTATGTGGCGTTGCCTTTGAAGACTGCTTGGAAGCTTCAAATAGTCCAACGAGAGGCAGCCAGGTTAATAACTGGGGCAGCATACAGGGAGCATACAACTCCCATGTTACGCCAGCTCCACTGGCTGCCAGTTTGCTACCGGGCACAATTCAAAGTGCTGGCTTTGGCCTATAAAGCCCTAAATGGCACCGTCCCAATTTTCCTGTCTGAATGCATCTTCCCCCTATGAAACATCACAGAGATTAAGATCCTCTGGGGAGGCCCTGCTTTCCGTCCCGCCATTGTCACAGGCGCGATTGGTGGGGATGAGAGACAGGGCCTTCTCGGTGATTGCTCCCTGGCTATGGA